TATATATATATACACACACACACACACACACACATATACATACATTTATTTTAAAAGTTGATGGTTTTGAAAAGCCTCTCAGGTTTTAAAAAAGTTTTCTCTTCTTAAATTTTCTTTAGCTTGAGCTTGAGAAGCAGAAGTTGCAGGAAGAGCAAGAAAATGCCCCGGAGTTTGTGAAGGTGAAAGGCAATCTCAGGAGAACCGGCCAGGAGGTGGCCCAGGTCCAGGAGTCCTAGGCCCAGGCTTCCAGCTGGGGAATCCCTGCCATCACTGCAGGAGCTGTGTTTAGATGCCTGTGCAGCACTCACCTTGGGCCAAAGCCCCAGAGGGAGAGAGTCCAGCCAGCTGAGAATCGTGACCATTAAAAATGATTGGACTTCATTATCATCTGGGTGGACTGATTGTGATGGTTGCAGTTCCCATTCGCCAAATGAAAGACATTGACCAGCTCATGTTTGAATCATGGACCTGTGTTTAGAGACCTCAAACAAAAACAAAAACAAAACAAGCAAAGAGAAATAGGAAGAGGACACTGGAGTAAATGTTTGAGAGTTTACTATTCAGTTTTTCTTCCAAGTTTCACGGGCACAGAGCCTTGTTTCTTTTAAAACCTGAAGAAATTGCCTTGAATTCTTCCTTTGGTTAGCTGTGAGATAATTCAGACTGCATCAAAATGCATTTAATTTGTTACATCCAATATTTGTAAATTTTATTTTGAGAATCCAAAATTTCCTCAGTCAACTTATACTTTCCTCTGTGTTACAGATTAGGACCAGAGACTGTTAATATTAGTGTTGAGCTACGGCTATTACCTTGATTGGCACTGAAATTCAGAAATAGGATAAAAGGTTTGAAAAACATATCAACATCTATCACGAGCCCATTATAATTCCTCTAGGCCCTCTGTGTGACAGTATACTACATGCTCATGTTCCATTTCTAAGAATACACATCCTGCCAAGTTGTTTAGTGTTTTGTTAACAGGTTTTCTACTCAGTTTCAGTTTTACATTTCTTGCTCAGCTAGTTCTTTTAGATGAAACAGTTCCTCAGTGCTTTGGAGAATGGAGCTAGTATGTATGATCTAGCTTCTGCATCCAGTGTCCTTTGATTTGTCCTGAAAGCTGTGTAGAGGATATTCCCATTAGGAGCTGGGGGATGAGGTTTTAAAATATTGTATCTGGTATAAGTATAGATGGGTTTCTAGGAGGCACTACTAGAAACTTTATGGTTGATACATTCTGAATATCATTGAATTCTGGGCTTTGAAAGTTTCTGAGTAATGATCGTATTTCTCCTGCCTTGCCCTTTTGCTTTTTCTTGTGAGGAATGACTGGTGCTCTCTCAGTGTGATGCTGTGGTAAGGATGGTATTGATGACTACTATATCACATCTCTCAGGAAAAGCTGAGGTGCTGGGCGAGTTGGCTCAGTTTCCTTTTGCTAGCTAGCATGCTGTTGAAAGAGACATCCAAATTACAAACAACAGCAAAATTCTCTTGCAAGATATATTTTATACTGCAGACGTGGGAGGATTATTTTGTATTTAGTATGTTCTCCATAGAGATAATTTAACTGGCAATTTCTATACTTAAGATGTCTGTTTGCTTTCACAAAACATAGAACGCTGCGTGCAGAGCTTTGGAATATGAGCTCTCTGTGGGAATGCTTCTGTTAGGTAGGTAAGAGGCCCACATTTCGTGCAGACGTGAATAAGAGAAAATGGAGGGTAAAATAACACTAGTTAGAGAAAGATGTTGGTTGATGACACCGGAAATGGATTCTTGGTTCCATTGGCAAGTGTATGAGGTACTGAAGATGGAACAGTTTGATCTGGAGGACTGGAGTGGTGATGACTGTTTTCTCGTTCTTCCTTTTGAGAGAAGAAAGTGACCATGTTGAAAAACAAAACTATCTCCCGATTGCACACTGACTGGAGCTCTTCCTCTGTGTGCACGGAGGAATGATGTCATGGGGAAGGCAAAGATTTGGGGCTGGCTCATACCTTGTTATCTACCTGGAAGCCAGATCTTCAGATGTGAATCCTGAAAGCAGGTCTGCCACTTGATACAATCTTTTTGAGCCCTCATCAACTCCTGCAGAAGGAACTGTTCTGTTCCTAGGACTACCTAGGACTACCTAGGACTCCTGTCAGTAGGAAACAGTTAAGTACAAATACATTTCCTTCCTCATCCCACTCAGACCTGCAAGCCTGCTTGGTAGTTACTGCTACAAAGTCTGGCCAAAAGAAGACTTGTAAACAGCATGAAGTGATGGCTTATGCTAGATCCTGGCGCGTACAGGTAGTGAGGCTCTTAGGACCCAGCTGATGAGCTGAGCTCAGGAGCCCTCGTCTAAAAGAGCTGATGTTCTTTCCTTGTACCTAATGCTATAGTCCAGACCCCGAGGACTCATCAGCATCTAAACAGTTTTGTGCTTTCAGCCACTTTTAGGGAAAAAAAAATGGCTCAATTTTTCCATTCTGTAGCTTTCTTAAAATAGTTCCGTGTTTATAGTTTTCTGGTAGTAAAGTAGGGTTGCTTTCGAAGCTATAACCGTTGACTTTATTCTTCTACTCAAAATCTTGACCTGTTTGAGTGTACATAATATATATAAAGGGAGCCTTAATGGATTTGTTTTCATAATTTAATATTTTTTGTATTTGCTCTTGTATAATTGTTTTTAATGGAAAGTATTACTGAATCGAGGGTGGAATTCTTAGAACCAAAGTTATTCTTAATAAAAATCACCACGTGCTTGGACCATGCAGCTGTGTTTGTCTCATCGGTTTAGATGGATGTCTAGACCTAGAGGGGAAGGAATACGTTCAGTTCAAAGATTAGGAGGCTTCTGAGTCCCTCGGGTGACTGTTCTGACATCACTTATTTCCTTTTGTCTGTTGAAGCTGAAGTTATTATTATATCCTACGGTATTAATCACTCTGAATACCGCCCTTTGCATAAAGTACGCAGCACCAAATCATCTGTTGGTGCTTTAGGTCAAAGTAGTCAGAATTTTAGGTAACTCAGACAGTGGGAGATACATTTTTGGAGCTGACGGTCATGCTTTTTTCATCCTTGGGGGATACAATTGCAAGTACAGTTGCAAGTAATTCTAATTTTTTGATTGCTTATTAAGTTAAATGCATGTTACGCTCACAGACGTTCGTTGGGGAAGCTGGCTGCATTATACTATGGGTTAAAACAGTTTGGAGGGTCAAATCTCCTCACTTCACAGTTATGTCTTACGTGACTTTTCCTGGGGAATTATGAACAAATATCTCTTCATTGCAGATAGGGCACTGACAACAGATCAAAGAAACAATGTCTAGCTTAGACACCCATGTTTGTTGGGGTTACTTACTGGAGCATGGGTGACTCAGAAGCAGCCACATCACTGAAAAGCCCCCTACAGTGTGGGTGAGAATGCAGGAAAGCTGCTTCCTGGAGTTTCCTGCACAGCCTGCAGACAGTTAGGCCATGTCAGAGAGACTCCTCTCTCCAGCAGTTGCTAACTTTGGAGAGCAGCTTTGTAATTTTCATTTACTTCCTAAGTCTTCCATGGGAGGGGGGTGCTTTAGGGAAGGAATGTGGGGAAGGCAACAGAACACCTGAGATATGAAAGGGAAGGGGATTCCTGGGGGCAGAAGGGTGTAGTGAGGAGGTGGGGAGAAGGGGTCAGGGAGGGGAAATCGAATCTGAACTGGGCATGACTATTTTTCTTGTTATTTCCTCTATACTGTATTTATGTAACATTGTATTTGATATTAGAAATATTTAAATTTGTATTCTATTCGTGTGTGTATACATGTGTGAGTACACAGGTCTTGGGGCACGGATGGAGGTCTGAGGTCAACTTGTAAGAGTCAGTTCTCTTCTTCCATCATGTGGATCCTAGGACTGGAACTCAGATCATCAGGCTTGGCAGCAAGTGCCTTTACCTGTTGAGTCATCTCCTGCCTCAGAAATGGTTTTGAAAGCATATGAGGGGCTGTGTATACTATTTCGGAGGTAGAAAACCTGCTTAGTTTCTTTTAAGGCCTTGAGATCAGTCTACAAAAATGAATAAGTAAAAGTGGTGTGTGTGTGCATTGTGTGTGTGAGAGAGAGAGAGAGAATTTATTAATCAGCTTACTTTAAAATAGTAACAACAGCTGAATCACAGCAGGCTGAGAACCTGGTAGTTGCTGGGTCCCTGAGGCTTAGTAGGGGCCTCAGCAGCCTGAGGGGTCCCATAGTGGCTCTCCTATAGGAGAGGCCAAGAACCTGGTAGTTGTTCAGTCCACAAGCCTGAGTGCTGCAGCAGTCCTGGTATGGTGCCCCAAACAGAGTTCCTGAAGAACAACTGGTCCTGAGTCAGCGCCTGGAAACACAGGCTCTCATGTCAGCAAAGGAATGAGCAGCAGCAACAGGATAAATTGACTCAGCATCAAGAGCAGAGGCCAAACAAGCAAAAGGCAAGCAATCTTCCTTCTGCCGTGCCCCTTTTATTTGGCTACTGCCAGCACGTGCCGCTCACCTTAAGGAGGGTCTTCCCATAACATTTAAAGGAATTGGAACAGTTCTTCAGGTGAGGCTCCCTACTCAGATGATTCTAATTTGTGGCAAGTTGACATTAAAGTCAACTTAAAGTATTAAAGTCAATTAAAGTATTTGTAAGCTTTAAAATCCTTTCAGTACATCTAAAAAGAAATATTAAAATAGTACTACCAGGCCTACATTTATTAGTGTGATAAGAAATGAAGCATGCTCTTTATTATTTATTTATTTTTATTTCATGAGTATGCATGTTATGCCTGGATTGTACATAAGTGCATCCATGTTGTGCAATGCCTATGGAGGACAGAAGAGGGTGTTGGAGCCCCTGGAACTGGAGTTATGGATGGTTAGCTGCCATGTGGGTGCTGTGATTCAAACCCAGGTCTTCTGCAAGAGCAGCCAGTGCTCTTAACCACTGAACCATCCATCTCTCCAGCCCCAGAAATGAAGTGTTTTATTTTTAAAAAATTATTTAAAGGGGACTGGAGCGACTGTTTTGGTAAAGAACCAGGTTCAGTTGCCAGCACCCTGGTGACAGCTAACAGCTGTCGTAACTCCAGTTCCAGGGGATCTGGTGCCCTCTTCTGACCATGACAGGCATTGCATGCACATGGTGCACTTGCATACCTGCAGGTAAAACATTCATACACATAAAATAAAAATAAATAATAAGCCAGGCATGGTGGTGCACGCCTTTAATCCCAGCACTCGGGAGGCAGAGGCAGGCAGATCTCTGTGAGTTCAAGGCCAGCCTGGTCTACATAGTTCCAGGCCAGCTGGGACTACAGGGAGACCCTGTCTCAAAAAGACTAAAAAATAATAATAATAAATAAAATAAATGTTTAAAGCTTAAAAAGAAATCAAGTGTTTTGATTTCAAGGTTGAGGATAATGACATCTTCCTGAGGGTAATTTCTACTTTTGTGTTTCTCTCTGGAGAAAAATGTCTTATCAACTGGAGATGTTTTCAGTATCTCCTCATTTGCTCCTAGATTTTCTAGCATATTCCCAATCTGAATCTGGAAAAAAAAATGCTTCTTATTTATTGAAAGTATGTTCATTGCTACAAGGGTTGCTGCTCCAAGCCTCATCAAGGTATATGTGTATGTATGTGTATGAGTCTAAGTATGTATATGCATGTGTGTTGATCTCTGTGTCTATACTTTTTGAATGTGAGTTCACACTGACGCCCTCAAGTCCAACCTGATAGCACTTTCTTCTCTCTCTCTCAGTATGTGCAGCTCCCATCTCTACCAGTGACAACTTGTCTGTCAGCCCCTCCACCTGCCGTTTATCGCCTCAGTCCCATGGGTCTGATCACTCCTTTGACCTTCCTCTACCTTCCCACTCAGGCCCTGCCTACTGGCTTTTACTCAATTATGAAGGAAGGAAACAATTTTTCTTTTCCCCCTTTCCCTACCCCTTTCTCTCTCCAGTACAGTTTTATCTTGAATTTGCAATCCTGTGCTTCAGCCTCCCAAGTGTTGGAATCACAGGCGTCAGCCACTAGGCCTGGTGTGTGTTTTCTCTTGTCTCTTTTTGTTTTTGTTTTCTTCTTTCCCTCTGAGAATCAGTTTTCTTGAGTATGTAAATGTGCATTGTAAATATAGTTGCTTAGTTGCCTCAAACACCCTAAACCACAACTGCAGGTTCAATGTGGTTGATTGTTTGGAATCTTTCAAACGTAAACAATATGCAGCCTGTGCTTGAATACAATGATTAGCACATTTTCAAAATAACTTACTTAAAAACTAAGTTTAAACGTTAAGTCTTAGGCTGGGTGATGGCTTTGGGCAAAGTACTTGCAGTGAAGCCTGGAGTTTGGATACCCAGCACCCACTTAAATGCTACTTGGGCATGATAGTTCCATCAGTAATCTCAGCACTCCGGAGGTGGAGGCACGATCCCTGGAGCAGGCTGGCTAGCTAGACAAACGGACTTGGCATGTGAGAGACTCCACCTCAATATGTAAGGTGGAGAATGAACAAAGAAGACACTCAACATCAACCTCTGGCCTCTACATGTACACATGTGACCCCCACACATGTGTGCCACACATGAATATATACACATGTGTATACTGCACACTGCAAAAAATTAAGCCTCGTGTCTATTATTTTTATATTTAAAAATTACTTCCCTATTGCTATGACCATATTTATTTTTATGTCTTTCTAGGGACCCCGTTATTCCCTACCGCTGGGCTGATAGTTTATTCAACCGAGACTACAAAAAACAGAGTCTCTCCTTAGGCTAACTGAAGGAGCAAGATCTGCATTTTTAACCAATTCTTGCTCTCACTGAGCCTGCATGGATAGGCTTTGGACCAAAGCCTTTTTTATAATTAATTCTTGCTTGCTTTGTCAGGAGATTTTCAATATCTCTTCACTTATTTGACTTTCACTTTCAGAAACTTGGTGTCCTTCCCAGAAATGGTGTGTGCCTTCATTTTGAATGGCTAGCATCATCTTACCTTTAAAATAAATTGATCATATACATTACCATTATTGAAAATTTAATGTAGCCTTATATCGTAAAATTAATAGGATCATTTTGAGATGTTTGCCTATGAAGAGTTATCACATCTGTGTGGTGAATTCTTTGGGATATATGGCTATATATCATCTTGGACATACTTTTGTGTTTTCTTTAATTTCTTATCAGATAGGCCCTGCAGCATTCTTTCTATACTTGGTTATTATGTGTGGCCACTGGTGATGATCAGCTTTCTTGTGCTATATTTTTTCTAATTTCTTTATTTCACGATTGCCTGTATTTATTCTTTCTTGTATACCTAGCTAGCAATAAGCGCATTCATGTACTTTATAAAAGCGTTTATTCATCATAGAACAAAGTGCCCAGTTATGTGAACACTCCCTTAAGCACATTGACTATCCTTACTCTGTAGTACAACTGTTCTTAAAAATACTGTTACTTAAAAAAATTTATGTTCATGTGTGCATGCATGCGCGTGTGTGCGTGTGTGCGTGTGTGTGTGTATGTGTGTGTGTGTGTGTGTGTGTGTGTGTGTGTGTGTGTGTGTGTGTGTCTAGGCCTGAGATTGACATTGGGAGTCTTCCTCAATCACTCTTCCCCATGTTCTTGGAGGCAGGCTCTCTCACTTGAACCCAGAGCTTACCGATAGAGTTAGTCTAGCTACCCTGCTGCTCCAGGGATCCCCTGCCTTTGCCATCCCAGTGCTGGAGTTACAGGTGGGCCTCCATGCTCAC